TAGCCGATAGACTCTTGCATAATACGATAAATTACTTTGAGAAAAATTGGCAAAAGAATGACCTACTCTGTGAACTTTATCGCTACTACATACAAGATGGAAGTAGACCCAAGTACCTCTCACCTGTAAACATATGTTTCAGAAATAGGGATTTAATAAGGCCACCTATTACTAGACCTTAAACCCTACACTAGTTTGGACCAAAACAAATACATTTAAAAAAAGTGTATTTTATGTAAAATGTATTATATTACTTTCAAACATGTGAAATCTGTTGTTTGCATATATGGAACTGTTTGCTAAGTGTAAGACTTTACAACACCGAATTAAGTAATGTTATGCACTACACATGAATGTAAATGAAGATACCTACATGGACATTGCCCTGAAAGGGGTCGGATGCAAGTGTAGTGTACTCTGACCCTCATATCATATCTACATAAACATTCAACAGTATCAAAACCATAGTTCAGAAAGGAGGAAGAGGAATGAAACTGAGCTGAGCTGTCGAGTTCAGATATTCTTTCTTACATTGTTCAGTTACCTTGAAGTGGTTTATTTTCTTAATTTTGCATGTTTTCTATTTTTCTTAACTTTATTTACTACACATCACAGTTGTCACCACTTCAGGTACTTTTCCAGCGTCTGATGCCATATTTTTAGCTGTGGATGACCTGTCAGGGATATCGTTGCTCATTTGCCTGGAGATTGAGCGGTACATGAGTCAGACTTTCTTGCCTACTTCTGCCCCACTTTGTCCTGAGCCTTTCAAGCCAGTCCAGGCTGATGACGATTTTGATCGTTTGTCCACCCCCGGGGTTTTTTGCACCTTCCCATTTACTACCTGATGATTCCACTCATACATCATCGGTCTTTTCAGACTTTATCTCTCAGGTATGTGATGTTTAGTCTCTTACACCTGTTTTCTTTTACCCTAGACCTTCCCGCTTACATGAAACAATTTCCCAACCATATTTAGTCTATCCCCCATTATTAGGGTTCATGCATGTGGAACTGGGGGAGGGCATTAGTATGCTTTGTCCCCCATGGACTTTGGATCAGTCTGCCCATGTTTATCATTGAGCAGACTTTCCCTTTATTGACCAACAGAGTTGTTGGTATCAGTTCGACCTGTTTGAGGGGGGGGGGTGAACCCAGATTATCCTGTCCAACTTACCCAAGCTCAATTCTTCACCTTCTGTCAGAGGTTCTTCACAGGAACCCCGTAGGAGGTTTTCTGCTAAAATCTTCTCCATCTTTACTTCTACATTGGCTCGTTTCCAGCTCTTGTGCTTCAAACGTGTTTTGTTTGTTGTTGAGACCTCTTGGGCCATGATGTGGCTTTGGCATGGATCCATCTCCAGGCTTCTTATCTGAGGGACCTCCCATGGTGCCGTTTTTTGGTTTTATGTGTTTGACTCAGTTCATGAGTCTTTGGATTCGCGGGTGGCCTCAGCCCATCAATATTCTACCCTTACTAATTTGGTACCTCGTTTGTCACAGTTGGGGCCAAGTGCGGCACTGGTTCCCATCCCACCCTACCACGATGCCGCAGTTCAACGATGCACAATCTGCCAACAGCATTACCAGTGACTATGTGGTCAGTTTGGGCCCATTGGGGACTCATCTCTTCAATTTCGTTCATCAGTGGGTACCTTTTCTCACCAATGTCTGGGTTCACAGAGTGCTCTCAGAGGGATATGTTATCCCTTTTCTCTCCCTTCCTGCCTTCTCCAGTGTTCCCATTACTTTTCCTTCTCCACGGGATCCTTCAACAAGCCAGCATCTGTCAGAGGCAGTTCAGGACCTCATTGCACAACAGGCTATCGAACCAGCTCCCCCATGTTCATGGGAGTTTTACTCACGCCTGTTTGTGTTTCCCAAGAAGATGGAGGACTGGCATCTCAATCAGTATTTTCACACTCCTTGCTTTACCATGGAGACATAATTTTCTCTTCAGTGATCTTCTCAAGGTCTTTGGATGGCCAAGGTGGACATACCCTTGGGCAGGGTCCATATGTGCTTTCTTCAATTACTCCTTCATGAACAATGGAACCTCGCCTGGAATCCTTTAGATATTCCTTTATCTTTTCCCTCATCCCTTATAGACAATCTCCATTGGTGGTTGAACGTTGCACACATGTTGGCAGGGGTCCCGCTTCCTCCTCTGTGGCTAGATTTACATCTGTTCATGGATGCATCCCTTCAGGGCTGGGGTGCCTTGGTGGATCACCAGGAGGTTTTGGGTCGTTGGTCTGTGGAGGAGAATTCTCTTCACATCTGTGTTCTTGAATTTGTGGCTGTTCATTGGGCTTTGGATCATTTTCTTTCTCTTGCCAGTTGCTTGCTGGTTATGATCCATTCCGACAATTCTACCATGGTGGGTTATAATAATCACCAAGGTGGCACCAGGTCTAGATCCCTGTGTTTTTGCACTATGGATCTTTTTTTATTGGGCCCACACACAACAAATTAATTTGATGGCATGTCATGTATAGGGTGCTTTCAATCTTGTAGCCAATCATCTTTCTTGACTGGATTTTATTTATCCTGCAGAGTGGTCTCTGCATCCTGCCGATTTTTGGTGGCTCTGTCTGCATCTGGGTATGTCCCATATTAATGCGTTTATCACCACTCTCAGTCACAAATTACCTTGATTTTGGCCCTTCATTCCCTATCCTGGAGCCTTGGCTTATGATGCCTTCAGCCAAGATTGGCCTCATCTGTTCCTTTATATTTACCCTCCCATCCATTTACTTTATTGGGTGGTTTCTCTCATCCATGCCATTCTGTACATTGCCCTTCTGATTGCTCCTTACTGGCCTGCTTAACCTTGGTTCCCTCAGTTGCTCCAACAGTGGGTGGTCCCTCCCCTTCCTCTTCCTCCATCAATCCCAGTCACTCCATTCCACACTGTCTGTCCTCCATCTTCATGCCTTTTGTCAGGTTCTTGGCAAGGAGTTTCAGTTTCTCTTGCAGAGTAACTTCACATTTAGTCCATTCATCTGCTCTTCTTCTTTGATCATCTATCAATACAAGTGGAGCATTTATTGTTCCTGGGCATTGACTCGGAGTTTCCAGGCATCTCACACAATGGTTGCCTGTATCTCCAAGTTTCTCACGTGGCTCTTTGAGAGGGGTTTTTTGGTCTTCTCTATTTCGGGGTTTCGAGTGGCATTATCCCATACCTTCCATTTTTCCAGTTTCTGCAGGGTCTTTGCTTCCCCTGTCTTTTACATGTTGATCCGTTCCTGTCTGCTCCATTGTCCACTGAGATGTCCGTCGCTCCTGGACTGGAACATTAATGTGATCCTTCATGCCCTCACCTCCATTCGAATCTCTGGGTATGTGCTCCCTGTTTCAACTCTCTTTGAAAGCATATTTCCTCCTCCACCTGGCCTGCGGGTGTCATAGATCAGATATTTTCGCCATAGACGTTACTAGGATATTGTACCACTCCTCCTACGTTATCCTTTATCTGGATAATGTGCTTTCCTTCTTAAGATCTCTGTGGCTTGAGAAGGGCAGTCCTCCTTTTCCCACATCTGCCTATCCTCTATATCTCATCTCTACCACTGTCCTGATTCGGAAAGACTCCTCTGTCCTGTCTGTGCCCTCTGTTTTATATTGCTCACACGACTTCCGTCAGGGGTCCTCGTTCCCACCTTCTTATCCCTTGACAACCTTTCTCTTCCTGTGATATTTCCCCAGTTACCCTGACCAATTGGATTTGACATTTGATCCAGTTGGCCTATTCCTCCTTGTCTTCTTCCCAGCATGATCTCTTTCACGTTTCCTTGTTTCAAATCTGTTATCTTACCTTCTCCCTTGCCTCTCATCTTCATCCACCATTGGAGGAGATTCTATGATCGGGCATGTGAACAACTCTGCAAACGTTCATCTCCCACTACCTACACCACGTTGCTGTTTCTGCTTCCTTGGAGTATCGCCTGTGGCTATTCTACATATTTTGGCATGGCTGTGACACAAGGTAAGTCCTTGCTAATGTTTTCTTTTCTTTCACACTGTGACGAGTGGTGCCTGACCAGATTATTCTGTCTGTACTTGGAATGGGTTCCACTAAGATGGCTGTAACCATTTGCAGACATCTTGCTATCAAATCCACAGTGTAAGCCATGTTGATTCTTGTACATTTTCCATGGCTATGTATGCACATTTTTTTAGATAGGGTGTTTCACATAATCACTAGAGTGTAAATTCCTCATGATAATTGTGTCATAATATGCCCATCCCAGACTGTACCACCCATGGTTGGTATGGGTAAAACAAAAGGGGATTGCTGCCCATCCTTGCCATTCCCAGATTGAATAAATTGGTGTGGTCTGTTTTTCAAAATAAGGTTTTGTGATCACCCATTGCACTGTCTCAGGTGTTGCAGTCCCTTCAGACTTTCCACTACACTTTTTTTCCCCCATGGAGGCAACCTGCTGGATGGGTTCCACTAAGATGGCTATAACCATTCAGTTCAAAGTAGGGCAGTGGTGTTCTGCCAGTATAGAAGGAGTTACAAGATGAGATGCCCAAATGCAGTTCACCCCCTATGATTGGGTGCCTTCCTTCTACCTTCACGTGGATGTCAGTACCCAGCGAGTGAGGTTTGGAGTTTGAGTAAACTAATCCCAAGTCCTTACAAAGGTTTCAGGTTGTCCATCTTCCCCTATCAACTTGTCTTCTGTGTTGTGGGTCGCAGAAGGTCTACATGGCCTGTGAGTGAAGTTTTGGATGTAGTTGACTTACTAAATATGGTCCTATCTCACCCTAGCCACTCTACACCATGGGACACATCCTCACTTGCCCACTTTCCATCGTCGGATTGAGTGGTTCTAATTTCTGTTTAAGATCACAATGTTAAACTACTCCTCTCCCATGCGGATGTGCTCCTTTATGTACTGCCATGTCTGGTCCTTCTGATCATGTTGATGTTCCTGGCAAAGAGATACCTGGCTCAGATGTGGTGTGGGCCCCCTCTTCAGATCACCTGATCTGTTTCTCTCATTTTGGGGATTTCCTCCAGATGTTTTTGGGGGATATGCCTGTGCTTCCCTTGCACCAGTCCCTCCTCTATTTCAATGTAGGATTCAAGCTAATCTTGTGAGAAGAGGGAGAGTACCTTATCGGAAGTTATAATTTTCTTAAATGAAAATGTATTTCCGATAGGTACTTCCCTCCACTCACACTTCCCACCCATCCTCCCCACAATCTTCCAGTGCTCGTCTTCTGCCAAAGTGGTGCGTAGAGGAAGTCACATGCGTCACGTGATAGTAGTGCTCTCCTATTGGTGGAGAGGTGACGCATGATGATTTGCATGATAGATGGGTTGGAACTTTGGATGAAAGTTTGTGGTATGCGTTTCTTAAAAAGTTCAAATACACAGAGCAGCACAAAGTGAGAAAAGCTAATCTTGTGAGAGGAATGAAGTACCTATTGGAAATAAATTTTCATTTAGGAAAATTATAACATTTGTAAAAGAAATTAAATAAACAGAACTAATTTTTTGAACATGAAATATGAAAAATATTTTAAATATTGTTTAGTATTATTATTCAGTTTTTTTTTATCTTGGAATGTTTCTTAACTAGTATTATTTTATGTTTCTTATATATTTTCTGTCTTT